CAGGGCCGCGACTCCCCTGCTTGCTAGAGGCCCCTGCAGGGCCGCGACCCCCCCGCGAGAGGTTTCTTACCTGACAAGGAAAGAAAAAAGAAAAAGGGGGGGCGGGACTGGGCCCGCATCCAAGGGGGCGCTGGGGGGAGGCCCCCGACCCACGGAGGCTGCGGGACCGGACGATGGAGGAAGAGGGGGGGAGGAGGAAGACACCCCCCCCATGGGAGACATCCGCGCCCATGCACCTGCAGCGAAAAGAGGAAGAGTAACCGGGCGGCGACAGGCACGACCCTCACCCGCCAATCAAATCATGAGGATACTCATGGCCCCCGTCGACTTAGGGGCTGCTCTTGACGATTAGGAGCGCAGATGATGGCAGAGTGCGAGGCCACGGGTCCGCAGCGCCCCAGTTAGGCACCTGTCTAAAGTCATGGAACCGCCCGCGCGCGCAGAAGTCGGCCCCCGCTTGCCCGGCGCGACGCGCACCGCGCGACTCGCACGCGGTCCAACCGGGCAAGGAAGTCCGCCACCCACGCCTTTCCAGCATCTCTGATCGTCGAGTCTCCTTTCGAGCCTGGGAGAGGTGACACGCACGCCCCGCGCGAGGTCCGCCGACTGCGAGGGCGAAATCGCAAGCCGAAGTCGGGCAGCCAGCCGGCCGGCCAGTCTGGGCCCGCGCACCCCGCAACTCTGCCAGGACGTCGGAGTTCCGCGGCACGATCGCATAAATTCCCCCCGCAAGCAACGCACGCGCGCTCAATCGCGCCACGACGTCGAGCGATGGCCCGCTCGGCGTCCACGGCACGCCGCACAAGGCAGAAGCGCAGGGAAGAGAAAGGCAAATGAGGGGCGGCCACATGGATAGGGAGCAGAGAAACATCAGATGGATGGAGAAAGCACACAGACAATGGATGAATAGAGAACAAGCATAAGAACCTCGACAACAGGGGAACAATCGAAATATCTCTTCCGCGCAGGAAACGTTGAATATCGGCGCGTTGACCCATGCGCGTGCGTTCACCGACGCAAGACGGGAGGCTGCCCACGCATGCTACTTCGCTAATTTCGCTTCCTACCGAGACTGTCGATGACGGACACATGGCCCAGAGGACAACGCAATTTCGGCTGATAAACTGAGATAGGGATGATCGCACCAGAGAGCCTATCCGCGCATGCCCACCCCCGGGGGGGCAGCGCCAGCACCGCGAGTGGGGGCGCCCCTCAGAGACGCGCGCGCCTGAAGGGCAGCGCACTGCGAGGTGAGAGGTAGAGCTATGCAGGTGTTGCCACGGGCCAAGCCTGCACCATCGGACGCGCCGTCTGTCCTCCTCCGCCACACCGAGATGCACCCGGCGGCCCTGGGCGCCCGCTTGTCGCCCTGCGCCCAGACCCATATGTTTCACGCGCTGGAACACCTGGATCGATTCCTAGGCCGCCTCCTCCCGCGCCGGGCCCTGTTGCGCCGCCGCCTGCGCCTGCGACGCGACCCCGACGATCGCCTCGGCCGCGCGCCACAACATCCGCCTCAAGAGAGAGTCCGGAATTTTGCCGCGGGGGGCCCTCAACTCCGCGCCCCGGGCCTCCGCAGCCCCCCTCGCCAGCCCGCCGCCCTCGGCGCGTTCGCCCGAGCCCTTGACTGCGAGCCGCCACCCGCGAGTCATTCTGCGTTTGGAGCACACTGCGCCGGCCCATGGCCATCGACCCCCACCCGCTCCCGCGGAGCGGGGAAAGCGCCGCAGCCACTGCCGCGAACGGCTTAACATTGTCGTCGCCACCGCCCACCTTTCCGCGCGCACGCCCCCCCCCCCCTCCCCCGCGTCCAGCGCCGCGGCCGCGCCGCCCGCGCTGCCCCCGGAAATCGGCACCGCCCCGAGGAGCAGCGCCCCTCGGCCCGCGAGCACCTCCAGGTCGGGCTCGAACAGCAACGGCGGCGGAACACCCAACGCAAACGCGCCGTTTCTCGCTGGTGGCGTCGCTGGAGCTCTCGACGATGTTCGAGCTGATGCTGTCGCCGATGCTTTCGCCGATGCTCTCGCCGATCCCGTCGCCGATCCCGTCGCCGATGCTGTCGCCAGCGCTGGGGTCACTGATGCTGTCGTCGATGCCGCTTGCGCTGGTGCTGTCGTCGTCGCCGCCGTCGCCGATGTTTGAGCCGTCGCTCGCGCCGTCGCTGCGCGAACCCAGGGGAAGCACTTCAATTGAGAACTAGCACGACGGCCACCAGAGGGGAGATCAACAATAATTCGCCGGCCCAACGGGCCAGGGCGTGCTCAGATCTCCGGTAACTGGTTAACAGTATTAACAGTATTTCTAGTTCGCGCGCGCGGGGCGGCCCCTGGGGGTCCCCCGGCGAAAAGTACCCCGACCAACGCCCGGTCGCCGCCCGGTCGCCGCCCGACCGCCGCCCGACCGCCGCCCGACCAAGTCTACTCAGAGATGGTTTTCCTTCTGGGTGCGGCCTCTCAGGCTCCCCAGAGCGCGCTCAGAGTGCCCCAAGAGGCCCCCAAGA